CTGGACAGCTGCTCACTGTGGCTGCTGGCCCCTCACGGTGGCTGCTGGTTACATATGGTAGCCCATGGAAACCTACTGCCACAGGGGCTGCAGCCTACGCCGTCGCTGGCGACTCATGGCAGCCCAGCTCCAGGTTGAGCTGTTGTTCAGCATCTTAGCTGTGGAGGGCAGTGTCACTAGCCCTCATATGTGGGATCTGAACCGGGGCCCTCTGGCATCCCAAGCCAGTTCTTAACCATCGCGCCACTCGGCCGGCCCAATTTTGTACTTCTTAATCCCTTCACCTTTCTCACCCATCCCCCAAACTCCTCCCATCTAGCAACCATAAGTTTGTTTTCTGTATCAATGGGACTATTTCTGCTTTGTTTACTCATTTATTCTGTTCTTAGATTCCACATATAAGTGAGATCATATGGTATTTGTGTTTCTCAGTCTGACTTATTTCACTTAACTTAATATCCCCTAGGTCATCCATGTTGTTGCAAATGGTAATATTTCATTCTTTCTTATGGCCGAATAATATGCCATTGTATAAATACACCACAATTTCTTTATCCAGTCATCTACTGATGAGCATTTTGGTTGTTTTCATATCTTGGCTATTGTGAATAGTGCTGCAGTAAACATAGGGGTACATATATTTTTTCAGGTTAGTGTTTTGGATTTCTTCAGATAAATACCCAGGAGTGGAATTGTTAGGTCATAAGGTAGTTCTATTTTTAATTTTTGAGGACCCTCCATATTGTTTTCCAAAGTGGCTGCACCAATTTGTAATCCTACCAACAGTACACAAGGGTTCCCTTTTCTCCACATCCTCACCAACACTTGTTGATTTATTGATGATAGCCATTCTGACAGGAGTGAGGTGATATCTCATTGTGGTTTTTATTTGCATTTAATGATGATTAGTGATGTTGAGCATCTTTTAATATGTCTATTTGCCATCTGTATGTCCTCTTTGGAGAAATATCTATTCAGGTCCTCTGCCCATTTTTAAATTGGATGGTTGGGCTTTTTGTTGTTGAGTTGTATGAGGGTTTTTTTTTTCAGTATAAATTTTGGATAGTAACCCTTTATCAGATGTATAATTGGTAAATATCTTCTCCCATTAAGTAGAATGTCTTTTCGTTTTGTTGATGGCTTCATTTGCTGTGGAAAAGCTTTTTAGTTTGATGTAGTCCCATTTGTTTATTTTTTCTTTTGTTTCCCTTACCTGAGGAGATATATCAGTAAAAATATTGCTAAGGGTAATGCCTGAGAGTTTACTTCCTATATTTTCTTGTAGGAGTTTTATGGCTTTGGGTCTTACATTTAAGTCTTTAATCCATTTTGAGCTTATTGTATATGGTGTAAGAAGGTTGTTCAGTTTTATTTTTTTTGCATGAATCTGTCCAGTTTTCCCAGCACCTTTTATTAATTAGACTGTCTTTACCCCAATGTAAATTCTTGCTTCCTTTGTCATAGATTAAATGACCATATAGGCATGGGCTTATTTTTGGGTTCTCTACACTGTTCCATGTATATATGTGTCTATGTTTATGCCAGTCCCATGCTGTTTCGATTACTATAGCCTTGTAGCATAATTTAATATCAGGTAGCATGATACCTCCAGCTTTTTTCTTCTTTCTCAGGATTGCCGTGGCTATTCAGGGTCTCTTATTGTTCCATATAAATTTTAGGATTCTTTGTTCTAGTTCCGTGAAAAATGCCATTGGTATTATGATAAGGATTGCCTTAAATCTATATATTGCTTTGGGTAGTATGAACATTTTAACTATAGTAACTCTTCCTGTCCATGAGCATGGTACATGTTTCCATTTATTTTCATCTTCTTCAATTTCTCTCTTTAATGTCTTATAATTTTCTGAGTACAAGTCTTTTACTTCCTTGGTTAAATTTATTCCTAATTATTTTATTTTATTATTTTGCTGCAATTGTAAGTGGGATTGTTTTCTTAATTTCTCTTTCTCATAGTTTGTTATTGGTGTATAAAATGCAACTGATCTCTGAATATTAACTTTGTACCCTGCTACTTTACTAAATTCATCTATCAGTTAGTTCTAATAGTTTTTTTGTGGAATCTTCGGGGTTCTCTATATACACTACCATGTCATATGCAAATAATGACAATTTTACTTCTACCTTTCCTATTTGGATACCTTTTCTTGTCTGACTGCTGTAGCTTGAGCTTCAGTACTATGTTGAATAAAAGTGGTGAAAGTGGGCATCCTTGGTTTGTTCCTGATCTTAAGGGGAATGCTTTTAGCTTTTCCCCACTGAGTATGATATTAGCTGTGGGTTTGTCTCATATGGCCTTTTTTATGTTAAGATATGTTACCTCTATTCCCACTTTGCTGAGAGTTTTTATCATAAATGGATGCTGGATTATGTCAAATGCTTTTTCTGCATCTATTGATATGACTATATGATTTTTATTTTTCATTTTGTTTATGTGGTGTATCATATTCATTGATTTGTGGATATTTAACCAACCATGCGTACCAGGGATGAATTCCACTAGATAGTGGTGTATAATCTTTTTAATAAATTGCTGAATTTAGTTTTTGTTTTTTGGTAATGTTTTTGTTTGGTTTTGGAATCAGGGTAAATAGTGGCCTTGTAAAGTGAGCTTGGAAGCCTTCCCACCTCTTGGACTATTTTTGAATAGTTTGAGAAGAATAGGTGTTAATTTTTTTTGAATGTTTGGTAAAATTCAACTGTTAAGCCATCTGGTCCAGGACTTTGTTTTTTGGGAGCTTGTTGATTACTGATTCAATTTTGTTGGTAGTAACCAGTCTGTTCAAATTTTCTGTTTCTTCTTGATTCAGCCTTAGAAGATTTTATGCTTCTAGGAACTTATTCATTTCTTCCAGATTTTCCCATTTTTTCACATATAGTTGCTTGTAGTATTTTCTTCTTCTTCTTTTTTTTTTTTTGTATTTCTGTGGTGTAGGTTGTCACTTCTCATCTTTCATTTCTGATTTTATTTATTTGGATCATCTCTCTTTTTTCCTTGATGAGTCTGATGAGATTTTTCTTGTTTCTTTAAGTAGGCCTGCATTGCTATGAATTTCCTTCTTAGGACTGCTTTCACTGTGTCCCATAGATTTTGTGTCATTGTGTTTTCATTTTCAAATTTCTCAGGGTATATTGTGATTTCTACCTTGATCTTATGGCTGACTCATTCACTATTTAGTAGCATGTTATTTAGTCTCCATGTGTTTATGTGTTTTTCAGCTTTTTTCTTTTTGTAATTAAGTTTATTGGGGTGACATTGGTTAGTAAAATTATATAGGTTTCAAGTGTACATTTCTATAATGCATCTCTATAAAATGCATTGTGTGTTCACCACCCAGAGTCAGTTCTCCTTCCATCACCATATATTTGATCTTCTTCTCCCTCTTTTACATTCCCTCCCCCTTACCATCTAGAAACCACTAAACTGTTGTGTCTATGAATTTTTGTTCCTTTGTTTATTTGTGTTCTTTTGTTAATTTCAGTTTTATATATCTTTTTCTGTCTGACTTATTTCACTTAGCATAATTATCTCAAGATCCATCCATGTTGTTGCAAATGGCAGTATTTTATTTTTTCTTAAGGCTGAGTACTATTCTATTGTGTATATGTGCCATATCTTCTTTATACAATCGTCTGTTGAAGGATAGTGGTTGTTTCCATGTTTTGTCCACCATGAATAATGCTGCAATGAACATCAGGGTACATATATCTTTATGGATAAACGTTTTCAGATATTTTGAGTAGATACACAGAAGAGGGGTTTCTGGATCATATGGTAATTCTATTCTTAATTTTTTGAGAAACCTCAGTATTGTTTTCCAAAGTGGTTGTACCAATTTACATTTCCACCAACAGTGTTTGAGGGTTTCTATTTCTCTACAGCCTTTTTAACACTTGTTATTATTTGTCTTGTTGATGATAGCCATTGAATAGGTGTGAGATGATATCTCATTGTGGTTTTGTTTGCATTTCCCTAACAGCTAGTGAAATTGAGCATTTTTTCACATATTTGTTGGCTGTTTGTATGTCTTCTTGGGAGAAGTGTCTGTTCAGGTCCTCTGCTCATTTCCTTTAATTGTGTTTTTGTTTTGTTTTGTTTTGTTTTTAGTTGTATACCTTCTTTATTTTTTTTAATTTATTTTTTTTATTGGGGAATTGGGGGGATGGAAACAGTGCTGGGGAATTGGGGAAAGGGGAACAGACAAGTTGCTGTCGTTTTGTTCTTCAATCTAGTTGTGGAGGATGTTGCTTCACTGGCCCAAGTTNCTGCTGGCCGCTCACGCTGGCTGCTGGCCACACACGGTAGCCCATGGCAATCCACTGCCACAGGGACTGCAGCCCACGCCGTCGCCGGCGACTCACGGCAGCCCAGCTCCAGGTTGAGCTGTTGTTCAGCATCTTAACTGTAGAGGGCAGTGTCACTGGCCCTCATATGTGGGATCCGAACCGGGCCCTCTGGCATCCCAAGCGAGTTCTTAACCATTGCGCCACTCGGCCGGCCCTATACCTTCTTTATATATTTTAGACATTAGCCCTTTATTGGAGGTGTTGTTTGCAAATATCTTCTCCCATTCAGTTGGCTGCCTCTTTGTTTTGTTGATGGCTTCTTTTGCTGTGCAGAAGCTTTTTAGTTTGATATAGTGCTATTCATTTATTATTACTTTTCCTTCTCTTGCCTTTGAAGTTAAATTCACAAAATCCTCTCTAAGACCAATTCCATAAGTTTAGTAATTATGTTTTCTTCTATGCAACTTATTGTTTCAGGTCTTTGATCCATTTTGAGTTAATTTTGGCATATGGTGACATATAGCAGTCTAGTTTCATCTTTTTGCATGTGGTTTTCTAATTTTCCCAGCACCATTTATTGAAGAAGGAGGATAATTATACATCTTGTGTAAGCCAGTGGGGAAGATAAATTGACACATAATGGGAAGTTGTTGGGAAAAGGAGCCCTCAAATCAGTTTGTCTGGCTCATTCTTACCTCTAGTTCATGGACGGGCACAGGCTGTGATGGAAGACAGGAAACACACTTGATCCTTATGGTCAGGGGGTTTAAGTCCTGCTTTTGCTCCTCGGTCATGATAGGAACTTCTGTCTTTAAAGTCAAAAAACAATCTAAAATGTTGGCAGACCTCCCACTGCCACGACTGACAACAGTTTGCCATCCTGGGGGGGGGGAATATATACAGCATTAGATTGTTACTCATGACAGTCCCAAGACAAGCACAGAGGCATCAAGCAACCTGAGAAGAGCCAATGATAAGATTATAATTTAAAAAAACTTTTAAAAAAAGAATTGGGAAACACTTATAGGCAGCATGTTATACACCAGCTATTGAGGTTCCATAAATTCTCTGGGAGAATTTAATTTTTGTGACTTAATCTTGATGATCATCTTGTAATATTGCAGTTTCTGATTTATCTATAGGATACAATAAGGAATAAAGGTGCTTGGGAGCCACCATCCCAAAATAGTCAGATTTACTTGGTCTAGGTGTAGACTTTATGCTGGGTTTTTTAAAAGCTCCCCAGGTGATTCAAAACCACCATCCTATACTTGTCCAGTACAGTACTTACTGGTTATATGCGACTACTTAAATTTAAATTAATTCAAATTGAATACACTTTAAAATGTGATTTCTTCTTCACATGAGTCACATTTCAAATGCTCAGTAGTCATGTGTGGCTGGTGACTACTGGACTGGACAGTGCAAATACATCTTTATCACTGCAGGAAGCTCCATTGGAGACTGCTACTCCTGGCAATTATCTTAGAACACATTCAAGCATAAATCATGCCAGTGTCTACCTGGTGTCCTGTAGTGTTGCTTTAACTGCTGTGGTCTAATAGGAAAAGCATAGATATTGATGTCAGACATAACTGATATATTTGAGCCAAATCAAACATGGCACACCTCATACTATGTCGGTTTTGCAATAGTGTGACTAGAAAAAGGATGGGTGAATTGAGCCACTGCATGACACACACATAGCTGTGAGAATACTCTTCTCATAAAAGGTGTCCATTTCACCAGGTAGAGACATACTGGTATAGGAAAACAATTTATAAAGCTACAGTTTTGCAAGCAGAGAAGCTAGGTTCAAATCCTAGATCTGACTCTTAATAGTCATGTGACCTACAACAGTGGAGGCTCTTTGAGGCTCAATTTACTCATGTGCAGAATGGGCACAGATACCACCCTTCTTAGAGTTATATATAGAAAGGTGCCAGGAACACTGTTCAGCACATAGTACATGCTCAAAAAATCAGTTCTATTACTTTCAAAATGCTTATAAACATGTTTCTAGGGCACATAAAAACCCAGTCACTCATGCTCAGAAAGAGTAGTCACTTCCAAAACAAGTCATGAGCCTGGTGTGTGCAGCCGTCTGCATGGCCATAAGCCATGAGCACCTCCTGAGCAGCTCTCCCTGCTCCCACGTGATTCTCTTCATTAAAACCCACTAATTAAGGCCATAACTAATTACGATTTGTGTTCTAGAACTTTGTAAGCCTTTTCATATAAAAGATTGCCTGATATAGAAAAAAATCTCCAGTTTAAACATGTACTCAAATCATCATTCATGACTGGCCGAGTTGCTCAGTTGGTTAAGAGTTGGTTTAAGAGCTCGAGCTCTGAGCAACAGGGCCTCTGGTTCAATTCCCACATGGGCCAGTGATGCTGTGCCCAAGCTGAGCTGTCACCATCAACAGGTGCCAGGATGGCTCAGCTGGTGTAACAACAAGACTGCCTGTTCGATGGTGGGCTACACCCACCTACAACTAAGACTGAACTTGGCACCTTGAGCTGAGCTGCTGCCCGGATGGCTCAGTGGATAGAGTGTGCACTCTTAACAACAAGGCTGCCGGGTTCAACTCTCACATGGAATGGTGTCTACACCCACCTGCAACTAATATTGAACACAACACCTTGAGTTTAGGGGCCACAAACTGCCGACGGGCAGCCAGATGGCGACTGGCTCCTTCCACAGCTAAGATTGAAGAACAACAACTTGGCTGGTCCTCTTCCCCAATTCACCAACACTGTTCCCCTCTCCCAATTCCCCAATAAAATCTTTTTTAAAAATCATCATTCATAAATTTAGGGAGGTGTCAGCCATAATTACAGAGTAGAGTTTCTCAACCTCAGTACTACGGACATTTGGGGACAGATAATTCTTTGTTGTGTGGACATTTAGCAGGATTCCACTAATACCAATAGCATCCCGCTCACTTATGACAATCCAAAATGCCTCCACACACTGTCAAATGTTTCCTGGGAGGCACCAGTGCCTGAGTTAAAAACCACTGTTCCAGAGTAAGGGGAAAGGTGTGGGGGAATGGACACTTTATGGTTTGTGCACTTACAGCTGCTAGACTTGAATATGCATTAATGCCATTTAATCCTCAAACAGCACTGTGTGGTTGCTATCATATTTTCTTTACATATGAGAAACGGAGGCCCACAGATGTTAAGTAATCATCTAAGGTCTTTTGCTAACAAGTGTTGGAACCAGTGTCCAAACTAGTCCTGTTTGGCTAGGTTTGGCCCCTCCGATATTCAATAAAAATAAGAGTTTATTCCAAACACAGAATCTTTCTGAGTTACTAACTAACCAATATTTACGACTAAGGTATGCAAAGTGTATGGCCTAATTTGAAACTGAAGATGATTATCAAAATAATCATGCTGGTTTTGGAATAGATCTTATGCTACTATTTTATGGGAAACACAAACATACAATAGGCCTGCTGAGTCAAGGCCATTCTTGGTTATAACCATAAACCATGACATCAGTGTAAATCATGACATCTGTTTTCCTTGCTGGAGGCCCACTGTCCTGCATCCAGCCCACCTAATGTCATGATAGAAGCAGCTGCCGCCTCCATGCCAGCAACCTCTGTGTCTTACTGTGTGTACGGTTCCATGTTAAGCAGTTTACAAACATTATCTCATGTGATCCTTACTATAGACCTCAGAGGTAGGAATTATCACCCCCATTTTACATATGAGGAAACTGAGACTCAGAGAAAGCAGGTAACTTGCTGGTAAGTGGCTGAGCCAGGATTCAAAGTCACCAGAGCTCTTGCAATAACTGTCATATTACACAGCCACGACAGCACAGGTTAAAGAGAGGGAGTTCCAGGCATTTCTTGGCCTCACTATTCTGGAAATAGCCACACCTAGCAGTCCCAGACCATTCTAGCTTCTCCTTCCCCTCACAGCAAAATTAAGGAACACAGTCATGCAGGTCACTCAGAGCTCACCCATCTAGAGGATCACTGGTTCCTCTTCAGGATTCAATGACCATGAAGCATTAACCATGATGTTTGCTCCAAGCAGAAGCATGCAACAGCTGTGTGTGGGGCTTGGTCCTCCCAGAGCACAACATGAGAGTGGGTAAGAGTCTATGAAAATTTACTTCTCCAGAAAAATTTCTGATGTGGTGGGAAAGCTAAGGCAGTCCAAAAGGCCCAACTTTACGTGAAAGCTGATTTTCAAAAATCCATTTAAAGGTACAAAATAAAAAGTTAATAGCATTTCTTCAAAATGTATGAACATTAACCTAACAGCCTGTGAGAATTACGATTTTTCTAGCACCTGTGGAACTCAACACTGACTTTACAGGGTTTTACTCTCCGTGTCTACAAAAGTCAGTTCCATGTCAGAGAAGACTTAAATCTAAATTTCTGCAGATTAGCCAGGAGAGGGCGCACATTCACCATGATGGCCAAAAAAAAAAATCCACAATTAAATAGGTTTGAAATTTCTTTAAGGCGAAAAGGAAGAGGAACTCCCAAAATAAACAACAGTTCTAAACCTGGTTGGTTAGAAATAAGTGAGCCTCTAGGTGATCACTACTGATGTAACAAGGAAGTCTAGGGGCTCCTTCCTAAGGAAGGATCACTACCTCCTGTGGTGTAGTTCCCCTCACCCATATTACCCTTTTTAAAATAAAGTCACATAATTTTTCCCAAAATATATTCTCAGCTTTCCATCACCAAAACATATGGATATAATAAATACCTATTTATTACTTAGCAAACTGTAGAAAACTTAGTTTATAACTTGTGATAGATCTTATAAAACAAAAAAATCAAACATCTGTTCCATCACCGAGCTGTGTGAGCTCAGCTAAGTTACTTGAATTCTAACTGGAAAAAAACATGGTGACAATGATAACCACTCCTGACACCACTGCCACAAGTTTGAGAGGATGAGTTTGTCATGAGAAGTAAATGATGGGATATAACTACTGGTTCCCTTTCCTAATTTCCTTTACTAGATGTTTTCATAAAAATCTGTAGAAACTTGTTTATTAAAAAGCAGCGTCTTGTTTAGCAAAAAAAATTATGATATTTATTATTTTCACAGGTTTCCTTAGACTTTGGAATCAGAGCTGGGTTCAAATCCTGTCTTCACACTTCCTTGTATGTGATCTTAGATAATGCATTTAACTCTCTAGGCTTCTGTTTCCCCTTCTGTATAGTGAGACTCTTACTCCCGCTTTCTAAGATGGCTGTGAACATGAAGTTCAGTGGCATAGAGCATAGGCTTTGGTCACCATGAGCATCCTGTTTATGGATTTTCGGCCACTTTTGACAGGACAACCAGAAACTGTTGGGAACAAGTGTAGCTACCTGCAAGGAGTGGCATTACTGCCAGCTGGATGGAGAAGGAGCCCTGCTTCCAGTGGCCTGCCAGCTTGGGGTCAGTGTCTTCTTCTGCTCGAGATTTCTTCCTTCTCTTCTGGCTTTTTTTTTTCTTCTCTGATTCTTTCTGTTTAACTGTGAAATTAAAAGAAGGAAACAAGTGTTAAGAGGAGCTCATATCCAAGCTGCCATATGTGAATGTACACAAGCTACAGATATTTGGGAAGGTACTGGAAGCTCCCTGAAGGCAGAGGTTGTTTTTGTGCTGCTGTCCTTTCCCAGAAACCAGAAGAGGTGTCTAAATGTGGGTAGCTGACCAGTTACCAGTTATATCCAGAGAGAAATTGAGGGGTGTCCTGATCTCCCACCTGCTACTACCAAGAATGTGTGCAATAGGGGGCTAAGTTTGCCATGATGACAACAGCACCACAACATAAGTTCTCCTTCAAGTCAGCTCTTCACCACAGAATAGGGTTGAGGTTTGGGCTTTGGAGTTGAACCACCAAAGTTCCAGAACCAGGTCTACCCCTCCTGCAGTGTAGTGCTGGAAAAATACCTCCCCATTCTGAGCCTCAATTACCTCATATGTTGAGTATGGGCAACAGCACCTGCTTTCTAGGGTCTTGAGAAGAATAAGTGAGCAAGGGTACACAAAAGCTCAGGTCAGTCCAAGATCAGATCAAGAATAAAACGGAGGGCCGGCCGAGTGGCGCAATGGTTAAGAACTGGCTTGGGACGCCAGAGGGCCCCGGTTCGGATCCCACATATGAGGGCCAGTGATGCTGCCCTCTACAGCTAAGATGCTGGACAACAGCTCAACCTGGAGCTGGGTTGCCATGAGTCGCTGGTGATGGTGTAGGCTGCAGCCCCTGTGGCAGTGGGTTGCCACGGGCTACCGTATGTAGCCAGCAGCCAGCGTGAGTGGCCAGCAGCTGCAGTGAGCAGCCATCCAGAAGCCGGAGAATGATGTGCCTCGCCTGGGAAGAGCGCAATGATGGTGCCAACTTGGGCCAATGAAGCAACGTCCTCCACAGCTAGACTGAAGAACAAAACGACAACAACTTGTCTGTTCCCCTTCCCCCAATTCCCCAGCACTGTTCCCATCCCCAAATTCCCCAATAAAAATCTTTAAAAAAAAAGAATAAAAGGGAGATGTTAAGACATAAATCTCTGCTAGTTTATACCATGAGCTATTGGCTCCATTATATAAAGGCCAATGGAACAAACTAGAAAGTGCAGAACTAGATCCACACACATAGGGGGACTTAATAGATGCCAGAGGTAGCATTTCAAATCAATTGAAAAGAATAGAATAGCCAGTTAATTATATTGACTATTCATTTAGAGGCAAATAAAATTATCAGCACCTCATATCATATGCAAAATGAATTGCAGACTAAAGGTGGGAAACAAAAACTTCAAAATCATTAGAAAAATATATAGGAGAAGGTACTGACATGTGGATGAGGAAGGATTTCTTAAATATTTTCAAAAGTACCAACTAGAAAGGAATTGTTAAATAACTGGTGTACAAAAGAAAACACCATACACAGAGTGAAAGGATAAATTACAGATCTCAGTCTGTGAGGTTTATAATGCATGTAAATGACATGCATAATTATTCCGAAGATGTAAAAAATAAAGCTTACAAATCAATAAGAAAAAATCTGGAACCCAACGGAAAAATAAGCAAAGAAATAAGAATAGGCAAATCATATATGAGTATGACCAAATAAGCATATGAAATGTTCTCAACGCCACTAGGAATCAGGAATTAAGCTCCTGACTGTGCCAAGCATAGGTGATGATGTGGAGAAACAGGGATTCTCAGGAGTGCTGTTAGAAGGGCAACCCAGAGAGTAAACTGGCAGCATCTCCTAAGGAGTAAAGGTGCATTTCCTACACCTGGTGACCTCATTGGGTAATGCTTTAGACTATCCTGCGTGTGCACATGGACACCTGCACAAGGATGCTAGCTATTGCAGTGCTGATGGGCCAGGAAATTGAAGACAACTCAATCTCTCTCATGGGGGACTGCATGGGTGAAGGATAGTACATTCATCTAATGGGGTACTCTACAGAAGTTGTAATGAAGGAGCTGGACTTACGTATATTGACAAGAATAAATCTCAGAAATAAAGTTGAGTGCAAAGAGCAAGTTGCAGGTAGATATGTGTGGTATGAAATCATTTCTGTGACTCATAAAAACAAAAATCAATAACATGTTGTATGAATGTGTGAGAAAGAATGGAGTGGCAGGAAGGGTCACACCAGTTTCTATCTCAGTATATAGTATGTTTCTTTTTTTATTATTTTTATTGTTAGTTTCAGGTGTACAGAACAATGCAATAGTTACCCTTTTCACCCTCACAAAGTAACAACCCCCCTCCCCCATCTATTGCCCTCCCACCCCCAATATCATGCTTATCTATTACAATTCCATTGACTCCTTTCCCGCACTCTACTCCATGTTATAGTATGTTTCTTAAAAGCACAGGATGCAAAGGGGGCTGAAACTGTATCTGTAACCTTTTATTTCTTAAAACCAGAAAAAAGAAAAAAGAACAAGAAAGTTATGAAGGACATTTATAAAAAAATAATAAAACCTACTGTATTTTGCCATGCATAATGAGCACTTTTTTGCCCAATTTGTGAGGGAAAAATAAGGATGCACATTATACATGGGTAGTACTAATTCTGTATCTATATAAATGTTTTTAATTCTTTTATTTATGCTTATGGCTTAAAAGTGTAACTCTAGAAATCAATAATGATATCTGTATGCAAAATAATACCATGGAATACAATAATTGGTTTTGTTGAACTTATGATGAACTAGCAACAACGAAGAGTTCTTGGCCTTCTATGATGCATAAATATCATAAATTTGTCACTGGTACATAAAATTGCTTTACCTTGTATCTATTCTTGTGTTTTGTAATTATTTGTTACATAAAATTTCTTGTACCATAATATGTTTAAAAAATGCTAAAGGGCCGGCTGAGTGGCTCAATTGGTTAAGAGTTGGTTTGGAAATGCGAGCTCTGAGCAGCAGGGCCACCAGTTTGGTTCCCACATGGGCCAGTGACGCTGCACCCTCTACATACAGCTAAGATGGTGAGCAACAGCTGGACCTGGAGCTGGGCTGCCGTGAGTGGCCAGTGACAGCATAGGCTGCAGTGGGGCTGCAGTGGGCTGCTGTGAGGTACCGTGAGTGTCCAGCAGCCAGTGTGAGTGGCTGGTGGCTGGCAGTGGGCGAGAGCTGCTGTGAGCTGCCGTGAGCCGCCGTGAGCCACTGTGAGTGGCCATCCAACGACCAGCAGCTGACTGCCTCAGCCGGGAAGAGCACAATGATCATAATACCAACATGGGCCAGTGAAGCGATGTCCTCCACAACTAGGCTGAAGAACAAAAAGGACAGCAACTTGTCTGTTCCCCTTCCTTGATTCCCCAAAACTGTTCCCCTCCCCCAATTCCCCAATAAAATGTTTTTTTAAAAAAAGATAAAATTCCTTTATAATACAAAAAACAAGTACCTAAATGCAAACAAATAAAAATTTCAATTAAAATGAAAGATTTTTTTCCCCTGAAAGTTTGTGCCAAAAATGTGGGTGCCCATTATACATGGGAGCACATTATACATGGCAAAACACAGTAAATTGTGGGTACATTGTTGTTATATTTTTCTGTGTATGTTTCTATCTTTATATCAAGATAAAAAAAGAATGGTTTGAAAGCCTCATTAAAATGCTCAAATAACATAAAAAAGAAGTGAGGCAGTTTTATCTTAAAAAGAGAAAACTCAGGAGGAGCTGAGAGGTGTTCAGATATGAAAGTGTGGACTAGTCTTTTAGGGCTTTAAAAATAGAAATGAATTTTTAATTTTCAGAATTATTTTTATTTATTATTATTTTTAGATTTTTAAAATTATTTTTTGTTATGAAATACACATTTTTTAGAATTAGTTTCAGCTGTACAACACAGTGCAATAGTTATACTTTTTACCCCTCAAAGTGACAACCCTCCTCCCCCAATCCGCCACCCCACTTCCCGCCAGTATCATACATATCTATTACAATTCCCTTGACTCCACTCCCACAGTATACTCCACGTCCCATGACTATAAATATATATATATATATATACATATATATATATATATTCACTTATAGTTGACATAGAATATTATACAACATCAGCTTCAGGTGTACAGTGCAGTGATCAAGCCTCTACCCCATCCATGATGCAGTCTCCCTAGCAAGACATGTGACCACCTGACACCCTACAAAATATTTACAACATTATTAATTATATTCCTCAAACTGACTTTCATGTCCGTGTGGCAATATTGTAGTTACGTATTTATGCTGTCTAACCCCTTCCCCTTCTCCCTCATCCCCACCCCCCTCCCAACTAACAGCCATCAGTTGTTCCTCTATATCTCTGAGACCACTTTTTACTTTGCTTGTTCATTCAGTATTTTAGATTCCACATATAAGTGAAATCATATGGTATTTGTCTTTCTCCGACTGACTTATTTCACTTAACATAATAGTCTCTAAGTCCATCCATATCGTCCCATAGAAATGAATTTTATTCACCTGTGTCTCCAACACCTAGTAGACAGCCTGACTCAAACTGTCATTTCTCTCCACAACTTCAATGTTGAACTAGAACCAGGAGAAGCAGACTAACTGAATGAGAGTTAAGGAAATGACTTGTAACAGTTACAAGTGAATGAACAGGAAATGGCCATCCCAAGAGGCAGCAAGTGTACAGGCTCTAGATTTTCTGCCTCACACTGGAAACCCAACTGCTTGCTGAAAAGCTGGTGAGGAGATCTAGGCCAAGAACGAGGAGGTAGATTTACTGGCTTCTGAGTGAAACAGGGCCCAGTTGGGACCCCCACAAAACAGGTCTCACCTCTCCCTGCCCTAGAGCTTAACAATTGATAAACCACTTCCCTGTGGTTTGTGCTTGGAAAGTCCCCTGTCCCAGTTCCTGGAGCTTAGGATGTCCCCTGTCGCGGTTCCCTGCTTTAGATAATTATCCTGAAACTTACACTTGCTTACTAGTCAAAATGCCCCGTGCTTGCCAATTATAATCTTTATGGCCTAGCATTCTTTCCAGGTTACTGTCATCACTGCTCCTGGGTTGCTGATGCGACTGGAGAGCCACATCGCCAAAGGGAATGCTCCATGCAGACACCCTGGAACCATCACATAGCCTCTGGAGGAATGTCCAGGTTTTCCCTTAAATATCCCAGGCTGGTCTGAAAATGCTAAGGCAGTTTTTGGAGGTGTTAACGCACTGCCTTCTCAGACCACTGGTACTCTGATAATAAACTCTTACTCTATGACCCAACTCCTGTGTTGGTCTATTGGCTGAGCGGCACAGGCAGCACAAGCCCTGGACTCGTTTTGCCTCTGGTTTCATGAAGATCTTTGTTTCTCTGCAGTCTGTCATTAAGATTTCATGTTTCTGCATTAGTAGTTCCTGTAACCTGGGATGCTAATTCCCTCATTCCACTGTAAGAAGCAAATAGCTTCCTATCTTCCAGTGAGTCTTTCCATATCCCCCACTCATCTGTGCTTTCTCAATATACCACATACCTACCCCACCATAGCATCTGTCACATAGGATTGTAATTATTTGTTTGAAAGTCTCCAGTAGACATTAGAGCTTTTCATGTTTCCTATATTCACAACATCATCACAAGATTAGGAGCACAAAAATGTTGGAAGGGAGGTGACAGAGGAGGTAGATGGATGGGATAATGTGGGTAAGTGAATGGGATGAAATGGGATTGGATGGATGGATAGATGGATGGATGGACGGATAGATGTTGGGGATGGAAGGATGAGGTGAGATAGAATGGATAAGTTGAAAGTATATGTAGTATTCTTTTATTTTGAGTAATATTTGGTCAGATATCACAGAATCTTATTAAAATATTTGGAATTTGAAATATTTCATAATTATTTCAAGTCTAGTTATAAAATTCCAAAATCCCATCCTTACTTTGAAATTTTTGCTTTTCTAATATGCTTGTTAAGCTTCTAAATGATGGCCTCTCAATTAATTTCTTCATCTCCATCACAGTTGCCCCTCCCAAAGAAATAGTTGGTAGTCTTAACATACTCCATCTAGAAAATTCACAAAGAGAAAAATAAAGGTGAAAAAAATCAGGGACCAGATAGATCTAAGAATCTACTAGGTTGTCAGAAAAGTCATGATGCATTTTTGTAATGGAAAACATAGAAAAAAATACATCATGACTCTTCTGACAACCCAATATTTATTGGATAAAATGTAAGCAGATTAAAAAAATAATAACATTGCATTCCTCTAACCCAGGGGTCGGAAAACTGTGGCTCACAAGTCACATGTGGCTCTTTGGGTACGTATATGTGGCTCTGAAGTAAAATTGAAAATGAAAACAAAACTATCATAGTTTCATTTATAAAATTTTTAAAGGATATTATTCACATAATGGTGATTTCATTTGTTTTATAGGTCTTGCAAAACTTTGAGGGATAGGATAGGCTCTTCCATCTCAAAAGTTTGCTGACCCCTACTCTAACCTAATGCTTCTTAAATTTCAACATGCATATAAACCATCTGGGAATGTTGCTAAATAAAAAGCAGATTGTGGTTCAGTAAGCCTGGAGTAGGTCTGAGATTCCACATTTCTAGCAAGCTCCCAGTAATGGTGATGCTATTGGTCTGCAGACCACACTTGTACTATCAATTTCTAGAAAATATAATGGAAAATAATATATTTTTAATAAAAGAAACTGAAATTCTAAAATATCCAGAAATTCATTTACAGGAATTATCCACAACATCTATAGGAAGGAAAAATTAACTCTATCAATAACGTCATAAAGGAGTTGCTGAACTAGGTGAAAATATACACCAGGATCAGGGATGGGAGAAATTCACAATGTAAAAATGTCAACTTTTTTCCAAATTAATCTATAAATTCAATGCAAAAACAATTTTTTTTAAATCAAGATTTTTTTTTCAATGACATTTTCTCTTGGTTGTCCCTATCCTATTCCCTCAAGTAACCAGCTGGGCCTCCATTCTACTCCTAGTCTCCACAGCATCCAAGGAAACTTCTCCACACCCTTCTTAAGCTCCAAGAGGCCCCAAGAGCAATTGCCCTCACAGAAGGAAGGGCTATGGACTTGTAATCTGAAGGAGTGGGTTGGGATCCTGGCTTTACCAATACTCCTAAGATTCCCAAGAATTCTTTTAGAACTTTGTGCAAATCACTTAACTAGTCATCTAGTGTAGAACATGGAGATAGAACCACCTCACAGAATAAGCGTTATGAGGATTACATGAGACAAAGTAATGCACGACAAAGCACAGTGCCTGACATATAACATGTGCTCACAAACACAAGCATTTCTCCCTCTGTTCCTTTCATTTCACCTGGATTGCATGAACTCCAACATAATTGAAGTTACTAAAAATCTACACAATTCATGGGGGGGGGTCTGTAGGACTAGTATAAGAGAGGGCTGCTCCCCCACTCCCCAAAATAACATAGGTTCATTCTTACCCAACTGTAGCAAGATCTTCCATTCTGAGTAGCTTTTCATATTCCTCGGTGTTCTTGGAAAGAGTTTCAGGCTCTGCTGCATGAGAACCTCATAGTTAGCAAAGGTCTCCAAACTTCTTGTTCCATACTAGTTCACTAAGAAATGAGGGTCCTTTACACATTTTGTAAAACCAGTCCCAAATAGCAGGCCTGGTATGTGGTGAGCATTTAGTAAAAAAATTAATAATAAATGAGTACATGAGTGAATATACAGACTAATTATGATTATTTGGACAATGGAGGCAAGAGGAGGCCTCCAGTTCTTTATATAGTGCCCACAAAGAAAAAAGAAAAGAAGAAAACCCTATTATTTATTCAGTTGTCCACTTCAGCACTGTTTACATAGAATATACCATATTTCCCCATGTATAAGACACGCTGTTTTTCGAAAAATTTGGCATCTAAAAACTGGGTACGTCTTATACAGTGGTTATAGATTTTTTTACTTGCATTTCCCACTTTTTCATGCTTGTTGTCTTTGCACTCATTGTTTAGCACTTGTTACCGGTATATTACAGTAGGTTACATTTTGCCACGTTCTGCCCAGAAATGGCTCAGAAAAGATTTTCCTACAGTGCTGAATTCAAGTTAAAAGCGATCCGGTTTGCAAACGTGAATGGAAATCGTGCTGCTGAACGTAAGTTTGGTCCTCCTCCAACTGAGAAAACAATCTGAGACTGGCTACGGGAAGAAGAAACCCTACTGAAAACACCATGGCAGAAGAAGGCCGTGAGAGTCAAGTCAGCAAAATGGCCAGATTTAGAGAGGGAATTTAAGATATGGATCAAAGAGCAAAGGGCAATTGGGTGATTCATCATCAGACACAGATGAGGACAAGCTAATCATTGGGAGTTTTGACAGTGATGAAGAGTTGTATGAATTTTATGATGAATAAAACTTGAGTTCAATAACTTCATGTAATACATTTTTTTTCAAATTTCGGGCCCCAAAATTAAGGTGCATCTTATACATGGGAGCATCTTATACATGGGGAAATACGGTACTCAAAACACTCCCAGATTCCTAAGTTCCCACCTATAGGGAATGATTAAGCAAATTACAGTAGTACCAGCAGATGAAATATTATTTAGTCACCTCAAATGAAGTTTATAGAAAGTTTTGAGGGAAATAGGAAAGTGCATGTAATAACATGTTACTATCAGAATACAGAATCAAGTATCCAAGATAACCTCGTCTATGTAAAAAAAATCTTAGAAGAAAAAGAATTTGCCATAATATGATAACCAAAATATTACAATGCTTATTCTTAGTGATGGACTTATAGTTTCCCTGTTTTATGCTTTTCTATATTCGTTGAATTTTCTAAAAAACACATATATAACTTCTACAGTTAGAAAAGTTCTTTTGTAAGCCAAAGAAAAATAATCAACAACAAAAAGTGAGTCATGCAGAGAGAGCAGAGCTTGCTTTGGCAGTGTGAACCAGCATTAGCAGCTGATACACGTGAAGGACACTAATGCACACACACTATACCAGTATCACCAATCAATCACTTTCCCTGCCATAGTTTGCACTTGGCTTATCCACAAAGGTCATCTCCACTCACCATGTAAAGACTTTAAGTGTTTTCCTGCTTTTTCTGGTTTTCCTGGTGCATACTTCTGGTCCCAGTCCTCTTTGACATGAATGCCTTGTTCAGACAATCTTTTCTGATTTAAAACCAAATGTCTTACTTCTTCTAGAATGCATGAGAAAAAAGAATAATTGACTCGATCAAGCAGAAATACTGGTTGAATACCTACTATGTGACAATATCTCTTCTGGTGTTGGAGATGGAGCTATGGATAAAATAGGAAAGGTCCCTGACCTCCTTGAGTTGTTGCCTAAGGGGCTGTGGCTTCAAAATACCAGGACACTTAAACCTCAACTGGCAACAGCTTCTTCCAAATAAGACCATTCATTAAGTACTAGACATATGTTGTTCCATTTAATCATAACACTTCACTTTAAGAAAGGCATTACCACTTCTCCATTTCACAGATGAGGATCTGATACTTAAGTAACTTTCCTGTTGCCAGAGAGCTGGCTTTAGCAAAGCCAGGACTATATTCATAGCTTCTTGTTCTCCAGCTATGGAGATGACCCCTCCATGTCTTTCATTTCTGTCAGTATGGGGCTTTGCATGCACAAGGCAGCAACCAACACATAATGGAATAATGAATGAGCAGAGGGAGTGAGTGAATGAAGATGATGGAAGGTACCAGAAAGACATGAGGAAAAAAGGTGAAACTGGGTTCTGTGTTAAAGGATAGATAACAATTTTGAAGAAAGAGATGAAGCTAAGAGCCCCCAAATATGGCCAAATGCCTGAAGGCAGATCCCACAGTGAGCAAAAGCCTAGAGTCTTCAGGGACCAGGGGATGGACCAGGTATGAAAATGCGAAGGGCATCGAGAAAGGAGCCTTGGGGAACAAATTATATGATGCCTTTAAGGCTGGACTCAAAAATCAGAACTTGGTTCCCTAAGGTACTGGGCAGTCATTAAAAGTCGCAGAGCAATGAAGTACTAAGAGTAAAGGGTGATATAGAAAGTTCATGGAACTGTTACAGGGAAAATGACATTGAACTACCTCAGTTCTTGTCTTCTTGAAGGAGACTTCAATCAAGAGATGGAATTTGTGCAGCATGAACAGCAGAAGTTTATTAGTAAAAGAGAGCACACTCTGAGACATTGAGAGGGATAACCCCAGGGAGGGAAGCAGCCCCGCCTTACATTGTGTGAAGGCTTTTATTTCTTTCTTTCTTATTTTTTTTTAGATTTTTTTAAATTGGGGAATTGGGCGAAGGGAAAAGTGTTGGGGAATTGGGGAAGGGGACCAGCCAAGTTGTAGTTCTTCAGTCTTCATTGTGGAGGGTGCCAGTCACCATCTGGCTGCCCAGTGGCAGCTTGTGGCCTCTAAGCTCAAGGTGCTGTGCTCAATCTTAGTTGCAGATAGGCACAGCCACCATCCCATGCAGGAGTTGAACCCAGCAGCCTTGTTGTTAGGAGTGCATGCTCTGTCCACTGAGCCATCCAAGCGGCAGCCCAGCTAAAGATGCCGAGTTCAGTCTTAGTTGTGGATGGGTGTAGCCTGCCATCAAATAGGCAATCTTGTTTTTACACCTGCTGAGCCATCCTGCCACCTGTTGGCAGCTCAGTGACAGCTCAGCTTGGGCACAGCATCACTGGCCCATGTGGGAATCGAACCGGCGGCCCTGTTGCTCAGACCTCACGCTCTTAAGCCAACTCTTAACCAACTGAGCCACTCGGCCAGCTCAAGGCTTTTATTTCTAAGGGTAGAATTGCCTCCCCCTCTCCTCTTATCTCTTTCTTTCCTTGAGGTGCCTAGTCTCTGGCATTTTGACAATAAATTTCTTTGATTTAGGGGCATGGGTAAACACATCCCCTTAATTTGGGGGGATATGTAAACACATCCCTTAGGGATGTGTGAAAACCTCAAATCCTGTTGGGCTAATAATGTATCAATGATCCTGACAAACAGGATGTGTGAGTGTGTGTGTCAATCCAGTACCCCCACCCCACCACCATCTGTGACTTCTAACAACATATCTCTTTGATTTAGAGGTGTGTATGAGCCTGGAGTCCTGCTGGGCAGCTGCCAGGGGTCTTGGCCCAAGTAGGAGCTGCAGAAAGGGGCTTTCTCATCGGGGCTGAATTTCTCCTTCTCCTGCTCATCTCTATATATCTACTTACCCTATCAATTATACTTGTCTGGAAGCCACTAACAACAGCAATAATATTACCATAGTCCATGGATTCTTAGATGTATATTGTTTTTATCTTTTAACATCTCTAAAAAACAGAGATGCATCTTTACAATTAATGCCATGGCATAGTTCAATTGGCAGGGTTTTATTATTGTTTTTATTTTTTTAAGGTTTTTATTAAAATATAGCTAACATAAAATATTATATTAGCTTCAAGGGTATAGCATAGTTATTCAAATTTATATACTTAAAGAAGTGATCACCATAAGTCCAGCATCCATCTGACACTGTATCAAGCTATCACTATATTAACTATATTCCCTATGCTGAACATTACATCCCCATGACTTTTTTTAAATTTTATATTAGTTTCAGGTATACAGCACAGTGGTTAGGCATTTATATAATCTATGAAGTGATCTCCCCCAATAAGTTCAGTACCCATCTGACACCATACATACGAGTTTGAACAATTAAGTTCATGAGCTCATCCTAGAAAAAGTGCTACATACCTGATTGCTGAATATCACTATGGTCACCTTCGAAGTACTCTCCTTGGGAAGCTATGCACTGAAACCAGTGCCTAGTCTACCCTTCAAAGCAATTTTGGAACTCTTTTTGTGGAATGACCATCAGAGCTCTTGTCATATTACCCTTGATGTCCTGATTGTCATAAAAATATCTTCCTTTATCTTTGGGTAAAGAAGGAAGTCATTGGGGGCCAGATCAGGTGAGTATTGTATTGTATTGAAGGGCTTTCCAATACAATGATTTGTTTACTGTCTAAAAACTCCCTCACAGACAGTGCTGCGTGAGCTGGTGTATTGTTGTGATGCAAGAGCCATGAATTGTTGGTGAAAAGTTCAGGTCATCTAACTTTTTCATGTAGCTTTTTTAGCACTTCCAAATAGTAAATCTGGTTAACTGTTTGTCCAGTTGGTACAAATTCATAATGAATAATCCCTCTGATATCAAAAAAAGGTTAGCAACATTGATACAAGTTCATGAACTTAATTTTCAGACCTCATAGCCTTTATAACATTATTGATTATATTCCTCATACTGCATTTCTCATCCCCATGACTATTTTGTAACAACCAATTTGTACTTCCTAATCTTTTCACCACCTCCATCCCCTGAACCCCCTCCCATCTGGCAACCATCAGTTTTTTCTCTGTATCTCTGAGTCTGTTTCTGTTTGTTTGCTTGTTTATTCTGTTCTTTAAATTCTCTGTAGATAGCGCACACTCTCCTTATTGCTTGTGTCTGGGGGGACCACTCCCACGACCCTGCCTTTAAGCATCTGATCAGAGGAAGCAGATATATGCCCAAATTCACCAGCTAGTTCAAGATGAGACAGAACTGAATTCAGCCATCTGACTTGAAAGCCTGGGTCTTTCTACTCCTGCCAGCACTCTCCAGGGCAGTTCAAATGGAGATTTTCTGAGGTTGACCTAATATTGACATAAGTAAGAGTCTAGAGGGTCTATGTGAAAATGTTAACATGGTGTCTCAGAATGGTGGGCTTTAAAAAAAATGTTTTCTCTTGTTTCTTGGTATCCTCTTTTTTTCCCCCACTGAACACACAATACTCATCCAGGGAGACATGCCCGGGGTGGATGCCCAGGCACAGGAGGTCCCAAAAGGTGACTGGGGGGAAGGTGGTGGCTAATGTTCATGCACAGAGACACCGGGCAGCATTTCCTAAGGCCTGAATGCATCCTGAGGGATAACACATGTGGATGTAAAAGGAACAACAGATTAAACCTGACAAGCTTAGGAGACTGAAAATAAGATGGTGTGAACACACACAAAACAATTTTTTTTTAACTAAGTGGGCCATGACAGGAAGTCACATCCCAGCTTCTTCATTAAATTAATCTGTGCCTTTTCAGTGGGCCTGTTGTCTTTCTGTACCTAAGATAACATCTTTAATTTTTTTTCCAGACCAAAGCTGGAAACTGCAAAATTCTTCATTTTTATGCTTGTCTCCTGATTACCATTTCTATGTGCTGTAAAAAAGCTAACTGTTTGCTATCCTGAACCCACCTATGTAAAAGAAGTACCTGTCTCTCCATTTTACCTTTTATCCAATCCCAGAGATTTCCCCACTTTGCTTTTTCCCACCCCCTTCCTCTATCACCAATGGATTTCATATAACCTTCCTCCTGGAATTTTATGTATAAAATAAACTTCAAACTGCCATTTTACAGAGCATTTTTTTCAATCCATTGAGATTTTGCTTCCCGTCAATTGTCGTCAGTTTGGCTCAAATAAACTCAAGTTTTCTCTTAGGCTGGATGTTTTTCATCAACACATACCACTGATAAAGAAACTAATGTATGCACTAGGAAAATTAGCCAGAGGAAACAAGGGGATGCTGGCTTTTATCCTGTCACTGGTAAGAAGCCACAAGCCTCTAGAAACTTTTCAAATACAAAACAAATACCTGACTTACCCGAAGATCCTGCATCTTCCGAATATCCAGAAGTCTTTAATCGATAATACCTGACATTTCTTGAAACCTTATCCTTAGTGTCCCAGAGCCTCAAAGTTATTTTGTGAAAATTTATTTTCTTTAGTAATTCCTTTGTCATGTTGATGTTAAAAATTTGGGTCCATGACACCCAAACTTTGTCCCCTTCATGCCACGGCCTCACGGTCTGTGTAAAAGAATATCAAGAGACTTTCAGTGTGGAAAGCTGGGAGGCACAGCAACCTAGAACTCATCACCAAAGCCTTGCCCTATTGGCAGCAAAGCAGGGCTCTGCTCTTTACCTGTCTGTCTTCTGTGTCTGGCTGTCCCCCAGGATAGGACTCACATAGGGAAATGGGTGTCATGGGCTGTGCCCTGACACACCTCTGGAATCCATGGAAAAAATTAAGTCAAAGCAACTACCTGCAAATAGTGTCCTTTCCAGTGACTCCCATCCCTGACTGAGCTGGGCCACAGACAGCTGTGTGTGTATGGGGGGCGGTTGGGTGTGCGCACACATGTCCTCACATGCATACACACAAAGAAAAAATTGCAAGAGCTACAAAAACTTTTGAAAAACCAAAGCAATTATTAGGTAAAAATATTTAAATAGAAGGGCCTGGGGGGGGCGGGGGGGTTGCAGGGGGTGGAACACATTCTGTTTGTCAGGATTCTAACACCTTACTAGCCCCACAGGATTCCAGGTTTTTAAACACCCCAAAAGAATGTGTTTACTAATGCCCCTAAATCAAAGAAATGCATTGCTAAATGCCATTAGACTAGGCACCTTAGGGGGAGAAAGACATGGGAGGGGAGAGGGAAAGGTAATTCTACACATACAGATAACAGCCTTCACACAATGTAAGGCAGGGATGCTCCCCTTCCCAGGGTCAGGCCTCCCCCACCCACCCAACCCCCGCCCATCTGAGAGTGTCCTCGTATTTTCTAATAAACTTGCTGTTCTAGGCTGCTTCCCTCCCTGGGGTCAGCCCTCTCCATGTCTCAGAGTGTGCTCTCTTTTACTAATAAACTTCTGCTGTTCATGCTGCACAAATTCCATCTCTTGATTGAAGTCTTTCCTTCAAGAAGACAAAGAACCTCGGTTCAACATCATTTTTCTGGTAACAAGTACAGATTCTCATTTGGTAGGTCTGGGGTGGGGCCCAAGATCCTGCATTTCTAACAAGTTCCAGGACAAGGGAGCACACTTTGTATACTGGGTATTAGGCTGTATGCTATACATAAGGGTACACACACACCTTTACTCCTGAATCCAGGAACACTTTGACCACTGCTGGAAATAGCACCATATCTACTTTTTTAGGCTCTGCATCATCTGGCAGCAGAAAATACTCAATGTGGTAGAAATGGCGAACCTTTGCAACAGGCTTGTCCATTTTAGGGTTTTTTCTGTATTTTTCTATCAAACTTGTACATTTTCCTTTGTGACCTAGAAGATATAGATTTAATAAGTCTTGTTTTAACCTTGCATGGGAAAGCACACCCATCCCTGCAGTTTCCTGGAACCAAGAAAGAGCCCAAGGCTGTGGGAGGTCACATCCCTGTGCTTGCTTGGCTTGGGGGATAAGATGCATGTCCAGCCTTCCTAGCCAGCAGAGTAGCAGGCTACTCTGGACTAAGACTAGGCACCAAGTTGCAAAATTTCAGTGCATGACTCTGAGAGTGAGTGTCTCCATATATTTATTCACCTCAGGCACTTACCTGCCTCACGCTAGTCTCTGCAGTAAGATGGAAGTTAAAAAAAACACAGCACAGTGTGTTGTGTAATACCAGCAGCATGAACAATGTTCTGAAGAACAACAGAGAAGGCAGGGGTAAACTCTGTCTGGCAGATATTCCAGGCAGAGGACAGAGTCCAGCAAAACCTCATGAGTGAAGCTGTGCAATGTGGATAGATGGGGTAAAAGGATGCAGAAAGTTAAGTCTGGGCTTCAGGCAGAGCCCAGGGTCTCCACTGCCCTTGACCTTAAACTGAACCCTCCAAGCTAGGGCTTTGCACACCAGAAGAAGATGCTTCAGGATCTCCATAAATATTTAATTCAAATTTCATTCTATAAAAATATTATGACTACTAAATTTAAAGCTGTAGTTTTAAATTTTTACATTTTTAACACCCAGGATTCTGTATTAATTTTGTGCCACCAGAAGAGTTAGCTTTTGTGAGGTGCTCGGAATAAGGTCTCCAGCGAGTCCTTGGTAGGCATTAGGATTTCTTATAAAGGTGCAACTGATCAGAAAGCTTGCTGCATTTTACAGGTCTGTGTTCTGATTCAATATAAGGTGAGCCAGCAAGTGGAGAGGCATACAGACCTTCTCACTTCCTGTCAATAGGAGAGAAAATTGCTACAACCCCTTTGATGGAAAATTCAACAATGTCTATAAGAAAATGTAAATGCATACAATAAGTCCTCACTTAATGTCAATGGTAGGTCCTGGATTTTAAATGAAACAACATATAATGAAACTAAATTTTACCATAAGCTAATTGATATAAACAAGAGTTAAGTCCCTATGGCATCTCATCAATGTTATAATGAAATGACGTTGAATTAAACAACATTAGTCAAGGACCTCCTGTATCTTAAACCCAGCAATTCCACTTCTTGAAATTCAGGCTACAAAAGTGCCCACCCACACACACAGAAACATGCCCACAAGAAGAGCTACTGCAGAACTGTAACAGAAAAATTTTGGGAACAAGTTAAATGTCACCAATAAGGGGTAGGATAAATTAGAAACACACAATAGAATATTGTGTAGGTGTTTAAAACAAAACAACAGCAAAGTAAATACAAATATGCTCATTTCCTCTCAGACAGCTAAGACATATCGTCAAAAATTTTAAAAGCACATTGTAGAACAGAATGCTTAGGATCTAAATAATTTATTTAAATAAACATTTAAAAACAAATCCATAAATACTGAGATATTCAAAGAAAAAAACATTGAACCTAGAATTTTATACCCAGCAGGTATATGTCCCTCAAAGGTATTGGCATGACAGAAAGACTCTAAAAAACAAAGTAAACAAACAAAGCAGAAATAAACTCATAGATACAGAACAAACTGATGGTCACCAGATTGGAGGGTTTGGGGAGGTGGATGAAAAAAGTGAAAGGAATTAAGAAGTACATATTGCCAGTTATAAAAATAGTCACAGGGATATAAAGTACAGCATAGGGAATATAGTCAATAATATTGTAATAACTATGTATGGTGTCAAATGGGTACTAGACTTACCAGGGTGATCACTTTATAAGGCATATAAATGTCTAATCACTTTGTTGTACACCTGAAACTGATGTAATATTGTATGTCAACCGTAATTGGAAAATAAATTAATAAAAAGGATTCTTCAGGCATGCAAGGCCTCATAAATTTTTGCAGCACAGAGATCTATTTTGTAAATGCTTTAGGAAGAAGCACCAAAATAAGAAAAACAAGTCTAGAAGATGCTGTAAGAAATGTAAAAGTTAAGGTAATCTGGTAAGCACCAATTTTCTTTTGGTTAGTATTTGCCACAAGTCTTTTTCCACGCTCTTTTGCTTGATATCAATAGACTCAAGATAAAAAGCATCACTATGGGGCCTGCCGAGTGGCGCGATGGTTGAGAACTGGCTTGGGATGCCAGAGGGCCCCGGTTCGGGTCCCACATATGAGGGCCAGTGACGCTGCCCTCCACAGCTGAGATGCTGAACAACAGCTCAACCTGGAGCTGGGCTGCCATGAGTCGCCAGCCACGGTATAGGCTGCAGCCCCTGTGACAGTGGGTTGCCACAGGCTGCCGTATGTAGCCAGCAGCCAGTGTGAGCGGCCAGCAGCCGCAGTGAGCAGCCGTCCAGAAGCCGGCGACTGATGTGCCTCTCCCGGGAAGAGCGCAATGATGGTGCCAACTTGGGCCAGTGAAGTAACGTCCTCCACAGCTAGACTGAAGAACAAAACGACAGCAACTTGTCTGTTCCCCTTCCCCCAATTCCCCAGCACTGTTCCATCCCCCCAATTCCCCAATAAAAAAATCTTTAAAAAAAAAAGCATCACTATGGGTAGAGTAGGTCACCACATAAGGACGAAAAGTTCTACTCACCAAGAAAATTGATCAATTCTAAACATGGTATATACACCTACCACATAGCCTCTAAAATATCTGAAGCAACAGTTGACAGCTACAAGGAGAAGCTGAAATTAATCATCGTGGGCAGGACAGTTTAAGTAGACAAAAAAACAAAAGGTATATCATAAAGTGGAGTATTTTTCTCTGCCCCTAATTTTGGGGTTCAACCACGTTACTCACTTTGTCCAATAAAAATTAGCAGGCAGGAGGTGCTCAAAGACTTGAGGAGTACCTGAGTGATTGGGCTTGCCCTCTGGTGTCTCTCTGCCTTTGGGTAATATGAATGTGTCTGAGCTAGCTCACATGTTCGGGAGGGAGGGAGGATGAGAGATACTCATCCCAGAGCAACTGCAGGGAGTTCAGGCTAGCTCTGCTAACTTGCTCATCCAGGACAACAGGGGTTCCTGTGTGAAGCTACTGAACTGTGAGCTTGTTTGGATTTGTTACACAGCATTGTTGCAGTAATAGCTAATTGATCTATCTTTACACTCAGATATTCAATACATCTGTGAATCTGTATTTTAAGTAAGGAATGGGTGATATACAACCAGCTTATGGGAACCAAGGCCTTAACCTCTCTGTCATTTCTTCATCTGCAAAAAGCAGAAATAACATCACCTACTTCTTAGGGTTATTGAGAGGATTAAGTATGTGAAGACCACACAACCACTTACTTGCCTGGTTCTCAGTGGGCCCCTAAAATTGCAGTTTCTTTCCTGACCTCTGCTCCTAGAATATACCACCTTACTGGGGGGAGCTGGTGGAGGGAGCATGTGTGCCCTAAACTCCTAGGAGAAGGTCATTAGTCCACTCCTTTTTGCAGGGAGTTGGAATTCTGCTCTAGTACTTACCAATATTCATTGGGAAGGCCAATGAGATGATGAATTTGCAGGGGACGACCTGGGGCATGTCGGAGTTAAAAATGCTGGCAGGCCCATCTGAGGACTCAATGCTGCTGCACTGGTGCTCAGAATCTGACTCCGGGGCCTGAGCCCTAGCATTCAGGTACTCCACATCACACTCGCTCATGGACTGGGAAAAGCCGCTTATGGAGGGCATGGTCCCCATGCTCACCCTGTCTTCATTCTTCCACTCCCAGGCATGCAGTGACATGCTGCAGAGTGCCCACCACGCCCAGCACTCCTGGCTAGAAAAAAATTAAGGCACTTTTGTCACTACCCTCTGCTCTCAGGGAACACCTGAGATGTTCCTGAACATCTTTCAAGAACACCGTTTTTCTCCCTAATTTCCCTTGTCTTGTTCCAGGTTGAACGTAATACACACAGAGAATGGTGGCTGGCAGTAATCATAATACTGAGTAACCCCAGTTTCTCTGACTTGAGTCTGTGTCCACCCTCCAGCCCCAGCTGCTCCTTTCATGAATCAGAAGTCAATCATTTGGTTCTCCTGGAATATCTATCTTAGGTGAGTGCAGTTCCCCGGGAATCACAAGGGGTGAGGGGAGAATTCCGTGTGCTTCCATTCAGGGAAGGCTTGGGGTGAGCTGCTCCAAAGCACAATATGCATTTGCCATCTGGGGACAGGCAAAGCAGGCAGGAGAAGATCGCATGTGCAAATGTCTAGTGAAGTCAAGGAGGGCGAGAACCCTGAGGCCAGAGGCAAATGGGCATTGAGCGCTCAAGGTACAAGGAGGCGGAACTGGGCTAAAGCTAAGAAAATAAGCCCCGGCTGCAATCGGTGGTGGGCGGGGGTAGGGGCAGCGGGTGAGAAGCGGGTGGGACATACGGTACCCTCAAGGTGCCAAGTACCTGCGAGCGGATGCGCTAGGTAGCAGCCGGGGCTCGGACCTCGGCGTCCATTGGCTTGCATACCCGCTGCACAGCCGCCTGGGCTAGGAGCCCCCGGAGGACGCAGTCAGTCCACCCAGACTGGCTGCGCAACTGTGTTAGACAGTTGCTAGGAGACGGGCGAGGCTAAGGCCCTGGGGCGGGGCTTTCCTGGGGGCGGGACTTCCTGCCTCAGCCGGAAGTCTCAGATCCGCTGTATAAACGAAGTCTAGCAAATAGTGTAACTAAATTCGGAAACAGCTGCATTCATTCATCCACCCACAAATTTAATCTATAAGGAATTCCTGCTCTGAACATGAGCACCCATAATACTGATCCTTACTTAGAGTACAGGCAAAGGAAGCAATGGGCTTTGCAAACTCGGATCCTCCTACCCCACCCCAAACCTGTCTCATACAGACTTTTTGCTTCTAAAATATCATGCAAATTCTGTTAGTGATTGTGAGATGAGGAAACTCAGATGAGGAAACTGAAGCTTAGAGAAGTGCAGTGATTTGCCTGAGGTCACACAGCAAGTGTGTGGTGGCAGCACTGGATTGAAGTCCAGATTATCTGACTTGGGGTCAATTGTAAAATCCCTCCTACCCCTTCCCCTGTCTTTCCACTGAGAGAGCCCTGGCTGCTGTTCCCATTGTAGAAGGCCACCAAACACCGAAGGGGATGGGAGGAGGGCAGAGATAATTGGCAGGAGGGGTCAGAGGCATGCTTCATGAAGGAGAAGACAAAAGCCAGCCTTTGGGGTTTGCCAGGCAGTGAAAGCAAGACACGGCATTCCAGGAAGAGGGAACAGCATTTGCAAAGGCCCAGAGGGGTGAAAGCACATGGAAAATTCAGGTAGGGATGATGAGACTGGAGTGTCATCTCCTGTCTCTGGTACATAGGTACATAGGACCCCTGGTACATAGCAGTGGAGGGCAGGTAGGGCACTCAGATGGTGGACAATAGAGAGTCATATTAGGTTTTTTGGCCAGAGAGAGTAGCACCACTGTCCGAGGGTGAGGGAATTAATTCCAGCAGGAAGTGCTGCCTTTGGGAGCTGGAAGAAGATACGCAGAGCCTCAGGCAGAAGAGACATACTTTATTCACTGACTCTTTAGGTACCACCCACCTGGTACAATAGCCAGGTTTTACGCTATACAGGGACAAAAGTGGCACACAGCCAAGGCACTTATATCAGTATATACATAAACAGGGTGCACAGCACCTGAGCTCATCCCACTCCCTCAACCCGGCGAGTCATAATCCTTCCAGATGGCCAGGTGAGAGAGCCTGACTAACTCTATTTTCCCTACACTCCACCCCTTCAGGGTTCCTCTCCGACTTGTTTGCCTCTTCGGGCTGGACTCTGCACCCCAGCTCTCCATGAGAGCAGGGCAGAGCTCTGTACCCAGAGCCCACAGCAGCAATACAAAGAACAGCAGACAGCCACTAGGAAACAAGCCACTCCTTCCATAAAGTTTAAGGCCCACCTCCAGGAGGAGGAAAGATGAGCCCACTACTCCTGCAGGGGTTCTTCTGCCCAGCACTGAATGCCATCAATCTCTTCAGCTAGGGAAGACAGTGCCTGGCTTACATTCTTTTTTTTTTTTTAGCTGAGCCATCCTGCCACCTTTTGGCAGCTCAGCGGCAGCTCAGCTCAGGCGGGACTTGGACCACTGTTGCTCAGAGCTCACACTCTTGAGCAAGCTCTTAACCAACTGAGCCACTCGATGGCCCCCTGGCTTACATTCTTATTATCTGCAATATACACACAGCATTCAGCATGCACAATGGCACAGGTCCCTCCTTGGGCAGCAGTTAAAAGGTTTTGGAGGACTACTTTCCTCATTTGGTCTACCTCTTCCATCAGGAGGCCCAGGGCCTGGTGAGTTTGGTTGAGGGCCCAGGTGGTGTGCTCAGCAAGAGCAGTCAACCGCAGTTCTACCACAATAGAACTACCCTGGGGGCTAATGATAGACAAGGGATACAACCACGAAGGCGTCCTCTTGATGCAGCGGTGTTTAACTTGGACATCTCCCAATTGTGGGGTAGAATTTCCAATGTGGGTCGTGCGCTGGCCAGAAGGTAAGGCCACCCCCACATACAATGCCCTGTCCACTGAGCAGGGAGTTAGGGCCAGCCATATGAGCCACAAACCCACTGGCTCCACTTTGGGACAAAAGTAGTGGGGGCCAACCTCTGTTGCTTCTGGTCATTCCACCACATACGACCTTCAGGCACTCGGGTTATGTTTTGGCTAAGGGCTGCAGGCACCCAGCCCATGACTCTGTTGCTGGTCTGTCGTTCCAAACACTGGGAAATGACTTAGGCAAGCTCCACACTTTCATTCATGAGCCACCCCCATCCATCCCAGACAGCATAGTTCAGCCATGGCTTTGTGCGGTTTCTCTGAGCTTGCATGCGAGAGAAGATGTATCGCCAGGTGACGTCCCAGGCCGCTTGCCGGGAGTTCCAGTCTGGCAACCAAGTGCAGTTTTGTGCTGTAGCTGGATGAATATGCCACGGCAGCCCTGCCACAGCACTGGCCAGAAACTCCATGCAAATCCAGGAGCTGGAGACATTGGCCACTCTGTCATAGGTGTGGGCTACCTTGTATTCTCCCAGGTGGGAGGGACTTGACATTTGTCATCACAGGGGGGATGCAGGGGGGCTTTCAGCGGTGAGATACCCAAGGAAAAGAAAGCACACAGAGCCAACATAAGAGGGACAAGCTAGCTCACAGCTTTATTCAACAATAGCAACCATGATATAGAGGTTTTGGGGGAGGCGAGCATACAGAAGTGGCATGCTCCCTCCTGCAGCTGTGAAATATGCTTACGTAAAGAGCTTACATCACCAGAGCCCAGCACCTGCGCAGCAGGCTCTGGAGTAAAAGTTTTTTATGTCTGGGGACAGGGTCCACGTGTCAGCAGCTCCTGCTCATATGGGCCCAGACCTTGTCCAGAGTCAGGGTCTGCACGTCAGCCTGCACACAATTGTTAGTTCCTGTAACCACTATTTCTTTCTGCCCGTAGGTGTGAGCTCTGAGCAACAGTGGTCCAAGTCCCGCCTGAGCTGAGCTGCCGCTGAGCTGCCAAAAGGTGGCCCACAGTGAAAGCACAAAGGTGCCTGGCAAAACTGTCCCTGTATTGGGACCTTTGTATACCACTGTCACTTGCGGTGGCCACTTGGCCACCACCCCTGGTGTGACTTGTAAGTCATGGGTCACACCAGCTCCCCAAGGGACCACCAGGCCCAACCACCAGCAATGAGGGCTTTTGATCCTCCAGGGCCAAGTCCAGTGTAGTTGTTCTCCTGCTTTCAGTCATGTGGGCGCTGGTAGCAAAATGTTCCCATTTTTGCTGTACCTTGGCTTCAACAAGGTCTTACTTGTAGTTAGTTACCTGTAACTGTATGGGAGTGGCTGTCTGATGCAGCAAAGCTTCTACTGGTGAAGGCCTTCCCTTCCATGGACTCTCATTCGAGGCTCTCAAAACATCCCACAGATGTGAGACCCAGTCACACATCATGGGAGGGTGTTTGAACACCCAAAGGCCTTGCTTCAGAAGGCCATTATGATATGGACCAAGCAAGTAGCACTCCCCCCTCCCTCCGCCCGCTGCCACTGGACAACTTTTAAGTTTTCCTATAAAAAATTTAAGTCTCCTCTTCCCTAGTTTCTTAGCCCCTGGCTTTGATTACTCTTCTAATCCGTCTCTGAGACCTAGACTAAAGATTGCCCCTAGACTGAATCAGAGAATATCTCTCACCCACCCCAGCTTTAGATAACTACTTAAAACGTGTGGCTTCCTAACATTCCCCAAGATATTCGGACCTAACTCTTGGATAATCTCATCCCAGAGACTAAATAGATTTGAACATTTCCCCAGTCCAGTATACTTGTTGATTGTAAACATTAAAGGCTAATGTTCTTTCCAAATCCATAGCCACCTTACATCATTAGCTTTGAGCTCTGCTTTTTAAGAAATTTATTAATTAAAATTTTTTTCTTCATTTAGGCATCTTGGGGATACAGAAGGCACCCCAGCAAGATTGCCAGTCACAACCAAAGAAGCCAACATGGTCTTCCAGGCAGATCTCGAGACCCCTTTCTCTCATGTGAGATCAGATAGGTGAGAGTTACATGAATCCCCCAAATAGGCAGGGACAGCTATATGCCCCTGCCCAGCAGGAAGTAGATACAGAAGAAAAGACCTCCTGTCCCTCAACTTCCCATTGAGATTTTTATGGGGATCACATCTCTCAAGGGGAAAACAAGGCAGAGAGTTAGAGGGAGGCATTGGGTCTCTGCATTCCTGCATGTCCCACAGAATGTGACCGCCCAAAAGACCTCCCCTTTCCACCCAAAACATCTCCTTTTTATCATAATTATCTACCCCTATAGGGAAACAAATGCATACAAAATATCCGACTGGATTAAACCAGTCACCCACACCTGTGAAGGCCATAATGACCTCCATTTCACTTGGGTGTCATTATACCATCATTATAATATCATACATATGCCCAGAAATTCATTAATATTGTTATAACAGACTGAATTCTGGGAAGGAGCATGTGCAGTCTAAAGTGATGAAATAATAGCCTATTGTCAATCACAGGTGTCAATCAAGTGGTCCCATGCACAGAGAGGAACATCCCATTCTAGAGAAAGAAGGGATAAAAACTTCAAGTCCTGGCCCATCAAGGCCTTTTGAGCTTCCTTTGCTTGGCCCACTCCAAACTTTTTGGAGTGCACTTTTTCTCCTAATAATGACTCCCTGGTCCTGGCCCTGGCCCTTGCCCTTGGCCCCTTGGGCCTTGTGAGCTTCTTTTGCTTGGCCCACTTCTGTTTCTTTGAAATGTACTTTTTCTTCTAATACACTCCTTTTTTGCAACTTTACCTCTCTGGTCTATGTCTCTATTCTTCGGTTCCATGAGACCATGATCCCAGCACACACACAATCACACTCATCAAAAAACTCCTGTTTCAATTATAGTGTTCAATCATACCAGCTGCCTGTGGATTGTATAGGGTATGAAACAACCATTGTATGTCCATCC